TCAGAGCTGGCGGGAGAGCTTCTGCGCCTGCTTCTCGTTGCTGTCGAAGGCGCTCTTGGTGCTGAAGAGCTCGTCCACCGTCTCCATGACCTTGTCCATCTCCTGGGCCAGCTCGGTGTAGCTGTCCTTGAGCTCCCCCTGCTGGCGGCGCAGCTCCTCTGCAGCCTCCATCAGCTCCGAGGCCTGTCCGCTGCACTGGGCCCGGAGCTGCTCCACGTCCGACAGAAGCACCTCCATGGACCTCATCAGCTCCTCCAGCCGCTCCGCCGTCCCCTCCAGGCCGCTGCCGTCGTCTGAGTCCACCGAGAACAGGTCTATCTCTGCTCCAAACCCCGCTCCAGACCCGGCTCCAGTCCCTGCTCCAGACCCGGCTCCAGTCCCTTCTCCAGACTCTGCTCCAGACCCTTCTCCAGACTCTGCTCCAGACCCGGCTCCAGTCCCTGCTCCAGACCCGGCTCCAGTCCCTTCTCCAGACTCTGCTCCAGACCCGGCTCCAGTCCCTGCTCCAGACCCGGCTCCAGTCCCTTCTCCAGACTCTGCTCCAGACCCTTCTCCGCTCTCAGCAACGGTCCCTGCTCCAGTCTGGTCTTTTTCTAGTCTCTCTCCAGTCCCGGCTCCAGACTCGGCTATGGTCCCGGCTCCAGTCTCTTCTCCGGTCTCTGCTCCGGTCTCTACGCCGGTCTCTGCTCCGGTCCCGGCTCCAGTCTGGTCTCTCAGGTCCCTCTGGTCTCCCTCTGGTCTCTCTCCACCGTCACCTGCAGCCTGGTTCTCTGCCTCCATGCCTGTCCTACAGAGAAGAACACATAGTTTTACATTTTAAAGCTACAGTACCTGAATTCAAAACCTCCAAAGAACCATGTAAACCAACACTGCAAAAAGTGGTGAATAATAAGTCCAAAATTGCAAGAGACCAGAGCAGAGACCAGAGCAGAGACCAGAGAGAGACCAGAGAGAGACCAGAGAGAGAGAGACAGAGACCAGAGAGAGACCAGAGAGGGACCAGAGAGAGACCAGAGAGAGACCAGAGAGAGACCAGAGAGAGACCAGAGAGAGAGAGACAGAGACCAGAGAGAGACCAGAGAGGGACCAGAGAGAGACCAGAGAGAGACCAGAGAGAGACCAGAGAGAGACCAGAGAGAGACCAGAGAAAGACTAGAAAGAGACCAGAGAGGGACCAGAGAGGGACCAGGGAGAGACCAGAGTGAGACCGCAGTAGTCGTCTGAACTAATAACTGGGTGCACACAAATCCCAAATGTTTTCTTCTGACTGTAAACCATGGGTCTCCAACCTTTTCATTCAGAGAGCTACTTTTATAGAAACAAAGTGGCAGAGAGCTACTTCTTTTTGCAGTCGTAATAAAAATCTATCTAATAATTACGACGAAACATGGAGAACACATACAAAATACACCATAATACTGTATAACCCTATATTTATACTTATATAGATTTGTAATGGGTCAAAAAGTATTTATTCAAGTGTATTTGTTAAATTCTAATTCCTTTGGCGAGCTACCTGTAAGGTGCTGGCGAGCTACTGGTTGGAGACCCCTGCTGTAAACAAAGGAAACTGTTTTACTAAAGTACAATCTGAGAAACACGAAAGGGAAAAGGAGAGAGACCTCTGTATAAAGGAAAACTGAAACGGACCATGTGAGAGCTGGACCCTACCTTCAGATGGTGGAGGTTCTCTCTCACACGACCAGAGAGAGTGGAGGTTCTCTCTCTCACGACCAGAGAGAGTGGAGGTTCTCTCTCACACGACCAGAGAGAGTGGAGGTTCTCTCTCTCACGACCAGAGAGAGTGGAGGTTCTCTCTAACACGACCAGAGAGAGTGGAGGTTCTCTCTCTCATGACCAGAGAGAGTGGAGGTTCTCTCTCTCACGACAAGAGAGAGTGGAGGTTCTCTCACACGACCAGAGAGAGTGGAGGTTCTCTCTCACACGACCAGAGAGAGTGGAGGTTCTCTCTCTCACGACCAGAGAGAGTGGAGGTTCTCTCTCATGACCAGAGAGAGTGGAGGTTCTCTCTCACACGACCAGAGAGAGTGGAGGTTCTCTCTCACACGACCAGAGAGAGTGGAGGTTCTCTCTCTCATGACCAGAGAGAGTGGAGGTTCTCTCTCTCATGACCAGAGAGAGTGGAGGTTCTCTCTCTCACACGACCAGAGAGAGTGGAGGTTCTCTCTCTCACGACCAGAGAGAGTGGAGGTTCTCTCACACGACCAGAGAGAGTGGAGGTTCTCTCTCACACGACCAGAGAGAGTGGAGGTTCTCTCTCACACGACCAGAGAGAGTGGAGGTTCTCTCACACGACCAGAGAGAGTGGAGGTTCTCTCTCACACGACCAGAGAGAGTGGAGGTTCTCTCTCTCATGACCAGAGAGAGTGGAGGTTCTCTCACACGACCAGAGAGAGTGGAGGTTCTCTCTCACACGACCAGAGAGAGTGGAGGTTCTCTCTCACACGACCAGAGAGAGTGGAGGTTCTCTCACACGACCAGAGAGAGTGGAGGTTCTCTCTCTCACGACCAGAGAGAGTGGAGGTTCTCTCTCTCACGACCAGAGAGAGTGGAGGTTCTCTCTCTCACGACCAGAGAGAGTGGAGGTTCTCTCTCTCACGACCAGAGAGAGTGGAGGTTCTCTCTCACACGACCAGAGAGAGTGGAGGTTCTCTCTCTCACGACCAGAGAGAGTGGAGGTTCTCTCTAACACGACCAGAGAGAGTGGAGGTTCTCTCTCTCATGACCAGAGAGAGTGGAGGTTCTCTCTCTCACGACAAGAGAGAGTGGAGGTTCTCTCACACGACCAGAGAGAGTGGAGGTTCTCTCTCACACGACCAGAGAGAGTGGAGGTTTCTCTCTCTCACGACCAGAGAGAGTGGAGGTTCTCTCTCATGACCAGAGAGAGTGGAGGTTCTCTCTCACACGACCAGAGAGAGTGGAGGGTTCTCTCTCACACGACCAGAGAGAGTGGAGGTTCTCTCTCTCATGACCAGAGAGAGTGGAGGTTCTCTCTCTCATGACCAGAGAGAGTGGAGGTTCTCTCTCACACGACCAGAGAGAGTGGAGGTTCTCTCTCTCACGACCAGAGAGAGTGGAGGTTCTCTCACACGACCAGAGAGAGTGGAGGTTCTCTCTCACACGACCAGAGAGAGTGGAGGTTCTCTCTAACACGACCAGAGAGAGTGGAGGTTCTCTCTCTCATGACCAGAGAGAGTGGAGGTTCTCTCTCTCATGACCAGAGAGAGTGGAGGTTCTCTCTCTCACGACCAGAGAGAGTGGAGGTTCTCTCTAACACGACCAGAGAGAGTGGAGGTTCTCTCTCTCATGACCAGAGAGAGTGGAGGTTCTCTCTCTCACGACAAGAGGAGAGTGGAGGTTCTCTCACACGACCAGAGAGAGTGGAGGTTCTCTCTCACACGACCAGAGAGAGTGGAGGTTCTCTCTCTCACGACCAGAGAGAGTGGAGGTTCTCTCTCATGACCAGAGAGAGTGGAGGTTCTCTCTCACACGACCAGAGAGAGTGGAGGTTCTCTCTCACACGACCAGAGAGAGTGGAGGTTCTCTCTCTCACGACCAGAGAGAGTGGAGGTTCTCTCTCACACGACCAGAGAGAGTGGAGGTTCTCTCTCATGACCAGAGAGAGTGGAGGTTCTCTCTCTCACGACCAGAGAGAGTGGAGGTTCTCTCACACGACCAGAGAGAGTGGAGGTTCTCTCTCACACGACCAGAGAGAGTGGAGGTTCTCTCTCTCACGACCAGAGAGAGTGGAGGTTCTCTCTCATGACCAGAGAGAGTGGAGGTTCTCTCTCACACGACCAGAGAGAGTGGAGGTTCTCTCTCACACGACCAGAGAGAGTGGAGGTTCTCTCTCTCATGACCAGAGAGAGTGGAGGTTCTCTCTCTCACAACCAGAGAGAGTGGAGGTTCTCTCTCTCACGACCAGAGAGAGTGGAGGTTCTCTCTCTCATGACCAGAGAGAGTGGAGGTTCTCTCTCTCACGACCAGAGAGAGTGGAGGTTCTCTCTCTCATGACCAGAGAGAGTGGAGGTTCTCTCTAACACGACCAGAGAGAGTGGAGGTTCTCTCTCTCATGACCAGAGAGAGTGGAGGTTCTCTCTCTCACGACCAGAGAGAGTGGAGGTTCTCTCACACGACCAGAGAGAGTGGAGGTTCTCTCTCACACGACCAGAGAGAGTGGAGGTTCTCTCTCTCACGACCAGAGAGAGTGGAGGTTCTCTCTCATGACCAGAGAGAGTGGAGGTTCTCTCTCACACGACCAGAGAGAGTGGAGGTTCTCTCTCACACGACCAGAGAGAGTGGAGGTTCTCTCTCTCATGACCAGAGAGAGTGGAGGTTCTCTCTCACACGACCAGAGAGAGTGGAGGTTCTCTCTCTCATGACCAGAGAGAGTGGAGGTTCTCTCTCACACGACCAGAGAGAGTGGAGGTTCTCTCTCTCACGACCAGAGAGAGTGGAGGTTCTCTCTCTCACGACCAGAGAGAGTGGAGGTTCTCTCTCTCACGACCAGAGAGAGTGGAGGTTCTCTCTCTCACACGACCAGAGAGAGTGGAGGTTCTCTCTCACACGACCAGAGAGAGTGGAGGTTCTCTCTCTCACGACCAGAGAGAGTGGAGGTTCTCTCTCTCACGACCAGAGAGAGTGGAGGTTCTCTCTCACACGACCAGAGAGAGTGGAGGTTCTCTCTCTCACGACCAGAGAGAGTGGAGGTTCTCTCTCTCACGACCAGAGAGAGTGGAGGTTCTCTCTCACACGACCAGAGAGAGTGGAGGTTCTCTCTCTCACGACCAGAGAGAGTGGAGGTTCTCTCTCTCACGACCAGAGAGAGTGGAGGTTCTCTCTCTCACGACCAGAGAGAGTGGAGGTTTCTCTCTCACACGACCAGAGAGAGTGGAGGTTCTCTCTCTCACGACCAGAGAGAGTGGAGGTTCTCTCTCACACGACCAGAGAGAGTGGAGGTTCTCTCTCTCACGACCAGAGAGAGTGGAGGTTCTCTCACACGACCAGAGAGAGTGGAGGTTCTCTCTCACACGACCAGAGAGAGTGGAGGTTCTCTCTCTCACGACCAGAGAGAGTGGAGGTTCTCTCTCTCACGACCAGAGAGAGTGGAGGTTCTCTCTCTCACGACCAGAGAGAGTGGAGGTTCTCTCTCTCACGACCAGAGAGAGTGGAGGTTCTCTCTCTCACGACCAGAGAGAGTGGAGGTTCTCTCTCACACGACCAGAGAGAGTGGAGGTTCTCTCTCTCACGACCAGAGAGAGTGGGGTTTAGTGAGAGACTGTGTCAGTGACAGACTCGGTCATCTCTTAATCCAATTAATCCTGTGGTGACTGCAGGACGGATTACCTCTCTCTGCTCACTCTGGTCCCTCTCTCTGGTCTCTCTCGTGGCTCTCTCTCTGGTCTCTCTCTCTGGTCTCTCTCTGGTCTCTCTCTGGTCACTCTCTGGTCTCTCTCTCTGGTCTCTCTCTGGTCTCTCTCTCTGGTCTCTCTCTGGTCTCTCTCTAGTCTCTAACTGGTCTCTCTCTGGTCTCTCTCTGGTCACTCTCTGGTCTCTCTCTCTGGTCTCTCTCTGGTCTCTCTCTCTGGTCTCTCTCTCTGGTCTCTCTCTCTGGTCTCTCTCTGGTCTCTCTCTGGTCTCTCTGGTCTCTCTCTGGTCTCTCTCTGGTCTCTCTCTCTGGTCTGTCTCTGGTCTCTCTCTCTGGTCTCTCTCTGGTCTCTCTGGTCTCTCTCTGGTCTCTCTGGTCTCTTTCTGGTCTCTCTCTGGTCTCTTTGGTCTCTCTCTGGTCTCTCTGGTCTCTCTCTGGTCTCTCTCTGGTCTCTCTCTGGTCTCTCTCTCTGGTCTCTCTCTGGTCTCGCTCTCTGGTTTTCTGTCTCTGGTCTCTCTCTGGTCTCTCTCTCTGGTCTCTCTCTGGTCTCTCTCTTAATGGGGATTTTTCCATTGTAAACCAGTATTATGCAACTTAATAGGGATTTTTCCATGTAAACCAGTATAATGCAACTTAATAGGGTTTTTTCATGTAAACCAGTATAATGCAACTTAATAGGGTTTTTTTTCATGTAAACCAGTATAATGCAACTTAATGGGGATTTTTCCATGTAAACCAGTATAATGCAACTTAATAGGGGTTTTACATGTAAACCAGTATAATGCAACTTAATAGGGTTTTTTCCATGTAAACCAGTATAATGCAACTTAATAGGGTTTTTTCCATGTAAACCAGTATAATGCAACTTAATAGGGTTTTTTCCATGTAAACCAGTACAATGCAACTTAATAGGGTTTTTTACATGTAAACCAGTATAATGCAACTTAATGGGGATTTTTTCCATGTAAACCAGTATTATGCAACTTAATAGGGATTTTTCCATGTAAACCAGTATAATGCAACTTAATAGGGATTTTTCCTTGTAAACCAGTATAATGCAACTTAATAGGGTTTTTTCATGTAAACCAGTATAATGCAACTTAATGGGGATTTTTCCATGTAAACCAGTATTATGCAACTTAATAGGGATTTTTCCATGTAAACCAGTATAATGCAACTTAATAGGGTTTTTACATGTAAACCAGTATAATGGAACTTAATAGGGGTTTTTACATGTAAACCAGTATAATGGAACTTAATAGGGGTTTTTACATGTAAACCAGTATAATGCAACTTAATAAGGATTTTTACATGTAAACCACTATAATGTAACCTAATAGGGGTTTTTACATGTAAACCAGTATAAAGCAACTTAATAGGGATTTGTACATGTAAACCAGTATAATGCAACCTAATAGGGATTTTTCCATGTAAACCAGTATAATGCAACTTAATAGAGATTTTTCCATGTAAACCAGTATAATGCAACTTAATAGGGATTTTTCCATGTAAACCAGTATAATGCAACCTAATAGGGATTTTTCCATGTAAACCAGTATAATGCAACCTAATAGGGATTTTTCCATGTAAACCAGTATAATGCAACCTAATAGGTTGCATTATACCACCAGACCAAGACCCAAACGAAGACTCAGACCACCACCAGATAATGACCACAGACCAGGTTTCCTTAGTTACAGGAACCAAATTGTTTCAGCGGTGAGGGGATTTTTCAGTTTCAAGGACACTTTCAATACATTCAGTAGTTTCAAGGATTTCAACTGTTTAAGAATTTAACCAGTTTCAAGGATATCAGGAGGTTCAAGGATTTCAGGAGTTTCCACACTTTCAACAGTTTCCAGGTTTAAAAAAAGTTTCAAGGATTTCAGGAGTTTCAATGTTTCAACAGTTTCAAGGATTTCAGGAGTTTAAAGGTTTCAACAATTTCAAGGACTTCAGGAGTTTCAAATATCTATCAAGTATTTTAACAGTTTCAAGGCCTTTTAAAGGATTTCAAGGATTTTTTTTAGCAGATTTCCACATTAGATCTGTTCCGCAGTCAATCGCAATGGCTTCAGCCATTGCAAGTTTCTAGTTTTTATTTGATTATTATTATTATTATTATTATTTTTTTTTTTTTTTATTATTATTTTTTTTTCATTTTTGGAAATGATTGAATGTTTGCTTATCTCGCTATCCTATGTGCATGTGTACGTATATTTTCTAGAAGTATTGATGATTGTGTGTGCACATGTATATATGCGAATGTGTATACATCTCATTCTGTTGTGCAGGGGTTCTGGGGGAAAAAGAAAAAAGAAAAGAGCAAACATGTAATCTGTAAAATTGTATGATAAAAATGTCACTCTTCAATAAACAAATAAAAAAAAAAAAAAAAAAAAGACATCTGTCCACAGCCTCAAACAGTCAGACTCCAAACTCCACTATGGCCAAGACCAAACAGCTGTCGGAGGACACCAGGAAAAGAATTGTAGACCTGCACCAGACTGGGAAGAGTGAATCTACAATAGGCAAGCAGCTTGGTGTGAACAAATCAACTGTGGAAGCAATTATCAGAAAATAGAAGACATACAAGACCACTGATAATCTCCCTCGATCTGGGGCTCCACGCAAGATCTCATCCCGTGGGGTTAAAATGATCATGAGAACAGTGATCAAATATCCCAGAACCACACGGGGGGACCTGGTGAATGACCTGCAGAGAGCTGGGACCAGAGTAACAAAGGTTACCATCAGTAAAACACATACGACGACAGGGAATCAAATCCTGCAGTGCCAGACGTGTCCCCTGCTGAAGCCAGTGCATGTCCAGGCCCGTCTGAAGTTTGCCAGAGAGCACATGGATGATACAGCAGAGGATTGGGAGAATGTCATGTGGTCAGATGAAACCAAAGTACAACTGTTTGGTATAAACTCAACTCGTCGTGTTTGGAGAAAGAGTTGCATCCCAAGAACACCATACCTACTGTGAAGCATGGGGGTGGAAACGTCATGCATTGGGGCTGTTTTTCTGCTAAGGGGACAGGACGACTAATCCGTGTTAAGGAAAGAATGAATGGGGCCATGTATCGTGAGATTTTGAGCTAAAACCTCCTTCCATCAGTGAGAGCTTTGAAGATGAAACGTGGCTGGGTCTTCCAGCATGACAATGATCCCAAAGACACCGCCCGGGCAACGAAGAAGTGGCTCCGTAAGAAGCATTTGAAAGTCCTGGAGTGGCCTCGCCAGTCTCCAGACCTCAACCCCAATGAAAATCTGTGGAGGGAGTTGAAAGTCTGTGTTCACTGCTCTCGAGAAGATCTGCATGGAGGAATGGGCCAAAATACCAGCTGCTGTGTGTGCAAACCTGGTAAAGACCTATAGTAATCGTTTGACCTGTTATTGCCAACTAAGGTTATATTACAAAGTATTGAGTTGAATTTGTGTTATTGACCAAATACTTATTTTCCACCATAATTTACAAATAAATTCTTTAAAAATCCAATGTGATTTCCTGGATGTTTTTTTCACATTCTGTCTCTTACAGTTGAAGTGAACCTATGATGAACATTACAGACCTCTGTCTTTATTTTAAGTGAGAGAACTTTCACAATCGGAGGCTGACTAAATACTTTTTTGCCCCACTGTAGATACTGGTGACAAAATACATAGGTACTGGAGAGAGAGCAGAGAGAGACCAGAGAGAGAGCAGAGAGAGAGCAGAGAGAGACCAGAGAGAGAGCAGAGAGAGAGCAGAGAGAGACCAGAGAGAGACCAGAGAGAGAGCAGAGAGAGACCAGAAAGAGCCAGAGAGAGCCAGAGAGAGAGACCAGAGAGGGACCAGAGAGAGACCAGAGAGAGAGACCAGAGAGAGAGCAGAAAGAGACCAGAGAGGGACCAGAGAGGGACCAGAGAGAGACCAGAGAGAGAAACCAGAGAGAGAGCAGAGAGAGAGCAGAGAGAGAGACCAGAGAGAGAGACCAGAGAGAGACCAGAGAGGGACCAGAGAGAGACCAGTGAGAGACTAGAGAGAGACCAGAGAGAGAACAGAGAGAGGGACCAGAGAGGGACCAGAGAGAGCCAGAGAGAGAGACCAGAGAGAGAGCAGAAAGAGACCAGAGAGGGACCAGAGAGGGACCAGAGAGAGAAACCAGAGAGAGAGCAGAGAGAGAGCAGAGAGAGACCAGAGAGAGACCAGAGAGAGACCAGAGAGAGACCAGAGAGAGAGCAGAGAGAGACCAGAAAGAGCCAGAGAGAGCCAGAGAGAGAGACCAGAGAGGGACCAGAGAGAGACCAGAGAGAGAGACCAGAGAGAGAGCAGAAAGAGACCAGAGAGGGACCAGAGAGGGACCAGAGAGAGACCAGAGAGAGAAACCAGAGAGAGAGCAGAGAGAGAGCAGAGAGAGAGACCAGAGAGAGAGACCAGAGAGAGACCAGAGAGGGACCAGAGAGAGACCAGTGAGAGACTAGAGAGAGACCAGAGAGAGAACAGAGAGAGGGACCAGAGAGGGACCAGAGAGAGCCAGAGAGAGACCAGAGAGAGACCAGAGGGAGAGCAGAAAGAGACCAGAGAGGGACCAGAGAGGGACACATGTTTCCTGCATCACATATAATTATATTTGTATTAATTACAAGTGAACGGTGTCAGTAGTTTAGGCCTGCAGCGGCGTGTTGTCGTCCTGGTCAGTCCTGTCGATGGTTCTGACTTTGCTCTAAACAGAAACACGTTAAAACATTCTTTAACATTTCTAGTTCCATCATTTCTGTTGTTGTGGGATCTTAACAATCCTTTAAGTGAGTTTCATGAGTTACTTTGAGTAAATAAATAATTCTTCACTATTGTTTCCAAAATGTATTTTTCAGTGTTTAAAGTTTACAGAATGATCTGTGTTTAGAAAACTGTCTAAAGTTAGAATTGTTCTGTTTTTTGAGGTGAAATATTTGATTATGTGAAGCACAAATATTAAAACCATTGAATCGATGTTTTGCATCAAAAAGTGCTAAATATAAAGTTTATTTTAGATATAATCGAGTCTTCAGATAAATGAGTCCTGGAAGAGGAAACATTTACACAGATTTTCTACATATTTTAAAGTTTGATTAAAGCCGTCTTTTAGATTCATCCAAATGTTTGTTTCAGTTAAATCTGACTTTAAAACGTTTCTAAACCTTTGGAGAAGTTCAAACATAATTAAACTGTTTCTGTCAAAACTTTATTACAGTCAAACTGACACAGATTTACTTTGACAGGATTTATTTGGATTTGGACGTTTTCCTCTTCATCATCTTCATCCTCTCGGTCTCCTCTTCATCATCTTCATCCTCTCGGTCTCCTCTTCATCATCTTCATCCTCTCGGTCTCCTCTTCATCATCTTCATCCTCTCGGTCTCCTCTTCATCATCTTCATCCTCTCGGTCTCCTCTTCATCATCTTCATCCTCTCTGTCTCCTCTTCATCATCTTCATCCTCTCGGTCTCCTCTTCATCATCTTCATCCTCTCTGTCTCCTCTTCCTCTTCGTCTCAGTTGCAGCAGCAGCCGAAGCGCACCTTGTAGTCCCGGCAGAACTGACCCGGGGCGTTTTTACACACAAACCCCTCTGTCGGACTAAAACTACAGAGAAAGTAAAACATTCAGACTAGACCAGAGAGAGACCAGAGAGAGACCAGAGACAGACCAGAGAGAGACCAGAGAGAGACCAGAGAGAGACCAGAGACAGACCAGAGAGAGACCAGAGAGAGACCAGAGAGACACCAGAGAGAGACCAGAGAGAGACCAGAGAGAGACCAGAGAGAGACCAGAGACAGACCAGAGAGAGACCAGAGAGAGACCAGAGAGAGACCAGAGACAGACCAGAGAGAGACCAGAGAGAGACCAGAGAGACACCAGAGAGAGACCAGAGAGAGACCAGAGACAGACCAGAGAGAGACCAGAGAGAGACCAGAGAGAGACCAGAGACAGACCAGAGAGAGACCAGAGAGAGACCAGAGACAGACCAGAGAGAGACCAGAGACAGACCAGAGAGAGACCAGAGAGAGACCAGAGAGAGACCAGAGACAGACCAGAGAGAGACCAGAGAGAGACCAGAGACAGACCAGAGAGAGACCAGAGAGACACCAGAGAGAGACCAGAGACAGACCAGAGAGAGACCAGAGAGAGACCAGAGAGAGACCAGAGAGAGACCAGAGAGAGACCAGAGAGAGACCAGAGACAGACCAGAGAGAGACCAGAGAGAGACCAGAGAGAGACCAGAGAGAGACCAGAGAGAGACCAGAGAAAGACCAGAGGGAGACCAGAGAGAGACCAGAGAGAGACCAGAGAGAGACCAGAGAAAGACCAGAGGGAGACCAGAGAGAGACCAGAGAGAGACCAGAGACAGAGCAGAGAAAGACCAGAGAGAGACCAGAGAGAGACCAGAGACAGACCAGAGAAAGACCAGAGGGAGACCAGAGAGAGACCAGAGAGAGACCAGAGAGAGACCAGAGAGAGACCAGAGAGAGACCAGAGAGAGACCAGAGAGAGACCAGAGACAGACCAGAGAAAGACCAGAGGGAGACCAGAGAGAGACCAGAGACAGACCAGAGAAAGACCAGAGGGAGACCAGAGAGAGACCAGAGAGAGACCAGAGAGAGACCAGAGAGAGACCAGAGAGAGACCAGAGGGAGACCAGAGAGAGACCAGAGAGAGACCAGAGGGAGACCAGAGAGAGAGAGAGACAGACCAGAGAGAGACCAGAGAGAGACCAGTGAGAGACCAGAGAGAGACCAGAGAGAGACCAGAGAGAGACCAGAGAGAGACCAGAAGAGACCAGAGACAGACCAGAGAGAGACCAGAGAGAGACCAGAGAGAGACCAGAGAGAGACCAGAGAGAGACCAGAGAGAGACCAGAGAGAGACCAGAGACAGACCAGAGAGAGACCAGAGAGAGACCAGAGAGAGACCAGAGAGAGACCAGAGAGAGACCAGAGAGAAACCAGAGAGAGACCAGAGAGAGACCAGAGAGAGACCAGAGAGAGACCAGAGACAGATCAGAGAGAGACCAGAGAGAGACCAGAGAGAGACCAGAGAGAGACCAGAGAGAGACCAGAGACAGACCAGAGAGAGACCAGAGAGAGACCAGAGAGAGACCAGAGAGAGACCAGAGAGAGACCAGAGAGAGACCAGAGAAAGACCAGAGTGAGACCAGAGAGAGACCAGAGACAGACCAGAGAGAGACCAGAGAGAGACCAGAGAGAGACCAGAGAGAGACCAGAGAGAGACCAGAGAGAGACCAGAGAGAGACCAGAGAGAGACCAGAGGCAGACCAGAGAGAGACCAGAGAGAGACCAGAGAGAGACCAGAGAGAGACCAGAGAAAGACCAGAGGGAGACCAGAGAGAGACCAGAGAGAGACCAGAGAGAGACCAGAGAAAGACCAGAGGGAGACCAGAGAGAGACCAGAGAGAGACCAGAGACAGACCAGAGAAAGACCAGAGGGAGACCAGAGAGAGACCAGAGAGAGACCAGAGACAGACCAGAGAAAGACCAGAGGGAGACCAGAGAGAGACCAGAGAGAGACCAGAGAGAGACCAGAGAGAGACCAGAGAGAGACCAGAGAGAGACCAGAGGGAGACCAGAGAGAGACCAGAGAGAGACCAGAGAGAGACCAGAGAGAGACCAGAGAGAGACCAGAGGGAGACCAGAGAGAGACCAGAGAGAGAGAGAGACCAGAGAAAGACCAGAGAGAGACCAGAGGGAGACCAGAGGGAGACCAGAGAGAGACCAGAGAGAGACCAGAGAGAGACCAGAGAGAGACCAGAGAGAGACCAGAGAGAGACCAGAGACAGACCAGAGAGAGACCAGAGAGAGACCAGAGAGAGACCAGAGAGAGACCAGAGAAAGGCCAGAGGGAGACCAGAGAGAGACCAGAGAGAGACCAGAGAGAGACCAGAGGGAGACCAGAGAGAGACCAGAGAGAGACCAGAGAGAGACCAGAGAGAGACCAGAGAAAGACCAGAGGGAGACCAGAGAGAGACCAGAGAGAGACCAGAGAGAGACCAGAGAGAGACCAGAGAAAGACCAGAGGGAGACCAGAGAGAGACCAGAGAGAGACCAGAGACAGACCAGAGAAAGACCAGAGGGAGACCAGAGAGAGACCAGAGAGAGACCAGAGAGAGACCAGAGAGAGACCAGAGAGAGACCAGAGAGAGACCAGAGAGAGACCAGAGAGAGACCAGAGGGAGACCAGAGAGAGACCAGAGAGAGACCAGAGGGAGACCAGAGAGAGAGAGAGACCAGAGAGAGACCAGAGGGAGACCAGAGAGAGAGAGAGACCAGAGAAAGACCAGAGAGAGACCCGAGGGGGACCAGAGAGAGACCAGAGAGAGAGAGAGACCAGAGAAAGACCAGAGAGAGACCAGAGAGAGACCAGAGAGAGAGAGAGACCAGAGAGAGACCAGAGAGAGACCAGAGACAGACTAGAAAGAGACCAGAGAGTGAGACCAGAGACAGACCGGAGCGAGTCCAGAGAGAGACCAGAGAAAGAGAGCAGAGAGAGACTAGAGAGAGACCAGAGAGAGACCAGAGAGAGACTAGAGAGAGACCAGAGAGAGACCAGAGAGAGACTAGAGAGAGACCAGAGAGAGACCAGAGACAGACCAGAGAGAGACCAGAGAGAGACCAGAGAGAGACCAGAGAGAGACCAGAGAGAGACCAGAGAGAGACCAGAGAAAGACCAGAGGGAGACCAGAGAGAGACCAGAGAGAGACCAGAGACAGACCAGAGAAAGACCAGATGGAGACCAGAGAGAGACCAGAGAGAGACCAGAGAGAGACCAGAGAGAGACCAGAGAGAGACCAGAGAGAGACCAGAGAGAGACCAGAGGGAGACCAGAGAGAGACCAGAGAGAGACCAGAGGGAGACCAGAGAGAGAGAGAGACCAGAGAGAGACCAGAGGGAGACCAGAGAGAGAGAGAGACCAGAGAAAGACCAGAGAGAGACCCGAGGGAGACCAGAGAGAGACCAGAGAGAGAGAGAGACCAGAGAAAGACCAGAGAGAGACCAGAGAGAGACCAGAGAGAGAGAGAGACCAGAGAGAGACCAGAGAGAGACCAGAGACAGACTAGAAAGAGACCAGAGAGTGAGACCAGAGAAAGAGAGCAGAGACTGACCAGAGAAAGAGAGCAGAGAGAGACCAGAGAGAGACTAGAGAGAGACCAGAGAGAGACCAGAGAGAGACTAGAGAGAGACCAGAGAGAGACCTTCAGGCTTCTCCCACTCACATGATGAAGAGCGAGTCCTGCCCGGTGGCGGTGGCGGGGACGTTCCCGGACGTCGTGACCACTTCAATCTTCTTGGGTTTCTCACAGATCTCTGGATACTGTTGGCGGAGGTTGCTCAGCAGTTCCCAGTCTCCTGTTCCTCCGGGGTTATCGCGGTCCAACCACTGAGTCCAGCACACTGTACAAACACAACATCACGACCCGGTTAGCATTCTCACATTCTCTGGTTAGCATCATGACCTGGTTAGCATTATGACCTGGTTAGACACCAGAGAGAGACCAGAGAAACACCAGAGAGAGACCAGAGAAACACCAGAGAGAGACCAGAGAAACACCAGAGAGAGACCAGAGAAACACCAGAAAGAGACCAGAGAGAGACCAGACAGAGACCAGAGAGAGAGACCAGAGAGAGACCAGAGAGAGAGACCAGAGAGAGACCAGAGAGAGACCAGAGAGAGACCAGAGAGAGAGACCAGAGAGAGACCAGAGAGAGACCAGAGAGAGACCAGAGAGAGAGACCAGAGAGAGACCAGAGAAACACCAGAGAGAGACCAGAGAAACACCAGAAAGAGACCAGAGAGAGACCAGACAGAGACCAGAGAGAGACTAGAGAGAGACCAGAGAGAGACCAGAGAGAGAGAGACCAGACAGAGACCAGAGAGAGACCAGACAGAGACCGGGGAGAAAAGGCCCACAGTGATTGGGACATGTTGACCTGGAACATTTTTTAGAGTGTGTTGCAGTACCATCGTCTTCACAGTAGGGGGAGTAGCAGCTGAAGCGCACACGATAGTCGTTGCAGTGGTTGTCTGTTTGATCGTCTGTTTTGCAGTAGAAACCCACATTTGTGTTCATCCTGCAACAAGACACAAAGGCTCACTCTCCATCAAAACAACTCATTTACACATGTCTGAGAGTTTCCTTTGATTCTGTTTCAACATCTTGGGAAGACATCTTGGAGAGACCATGGGCAGACATCTTGGAGAGACAATAGGGGCAGACATCTTGGAGAGACAATAGGGGCAGACATCTTGGAGAGACCATGGGCAGACATCTTGGAGAGACAATAGGGGCAGACATCTTGGAGAGACAATGGGGCAGACATCTTGGAGAGACAATGGGGCAGACTTGGAAATTCCTGGGGCTTGATTGTAATGCACTGTAACCTTCTCTAAACTGATGCTTACACAACAGCATCCCCCATCGCGGCTGGGGTCGCTCCCGACATGGTCCTGGCCTCCACGTCCACTGGGTCGTCACAGATCTCTCCAGGATATTCATTACGGAGGTTCAGCAGCGTCTCCCAGTCCCCAGTTCCAGAGGGGTCATCTCGGTCGAACCACCTGGTCCAGCAGCCTGAGCCAAACCACAAAAGGAACTAAAAAATTTGGACAATTTTCTATTTGAACTAATTTACTTACGTTGGTTTGTGGGTTGGACTGGATCTGGAATAGAAGCAACAGTTTAAGAATAAAGAAAGTACATTATTAAAGGGGATATAAAGTGCTGGTACTACTCACAGAATGGTTTGAGTGGAAGTTGGGAGAGTTCTGATTTATTTTGTGCACTTCCAGCTAAAGAGAGAGACCATGATGTTGAATTAATGATTTAAATGAACATTTGTCACAATTCACCCACTTCTAGTTATTTTTCAGTAGTCCACTGACTTCTACCTTGTTTCAAAAAGGCGTACCCTAACCTACTCCACCCTACTCTACCCTACTCTACTCTACTCTACTCTACCCTACTCTACTCTACCCTACTCTACTTTACCCTACTCTACTCTACTCTACCCTACTCTACTCTACTCTACTCTACTCTACTTTACCCTACTCTACTCTACTCTGCCCTACTCTACTCTACCCCACTCTACTCTACTCTACTCTACTCTACTCTACCCTACTCTACTCTACTCTACTCTACTCTACTCTACCCTACTCTACTCTACTCTACTCTACCCTACTCTACTCTACTCCACCCTACTCTACTCTACTCTACTCTACTCTACCCTACTCTACTCTACTCTACTCTACTCTACTTTACTCCACCCTACTCTACTCTACTCTACCCTACTCTACTTTACCCTACTCTACTCTACTTTACCCTACTCTACTCTACTCTACCCTACTCTACTCTACCCTACCCTACTCTACTTTCCCCTACTCTACTCTACTCTACCCTACTCTACTCTACTCTACTCTACCCTACTCTACTCTACTCTACCCTACTCTACTTTACCCTACCCTACTCTACTCTACTCTACCCTACTCTACTTTACCCTACCCTACTCTACTCTACTCTACCCTACTCTACTTTACCCTACTCTACCCTACTCTACTTTACCCTACTCTACTACTCTACTCTACTCCACCCTACTCTACCCTACTCTACCCTACTCTACTTTACCCTACTCTACTCCACTCTACTCCACCCTACTCTACTCTACTCTACCCTACTCTACTCTACTCTACTCTACTCTACTCTACCCTACTCTACTCTACCCTACCCTTCTCTTCTCTTCCTTCATGAAACTGTAGTCATAAAAACGTACCAGAAATGAGTCCCACAAAAACGGCAAGTCCCAACTGCAAAACACAGATTATTAACAAATGTTTTTGTAGACCATGAAACAACACACCAGCGTTGAGACCAGAGAGAAACCAGAAAGAGACCAAAGAGAGACCGGAGAGAGACCAGAGAAAGAGAAATCAGAGAGAGACCAAAGAGAGACCAGAGAGAGAGAGAGACCAGAGAGAGACCATAAAGAGACCAGAGAGAGAGAGAGACCAGAGAGAGACCATAAAGAGACCAGAGAGAGAGAGAGACCAGAGAGAGACCATAAAGCGACCAGACATCTAAACTCACCATTGCTCTCATGGTTGCAGATCGACCTGTGAGAGAACAGACAGAAAGTGTTGAAAAAACAACCTCACAATTACTCATAAAACATTTTCTCTAAAACCTTTCTTACCCGAGTGAAGTTCAAAGCCCTTCTGAGCTCGTGCTGGTCTTTCCCGCTCATATATACACAAACCCTACAGCTATTGTCGTTTGCTAACGACCCGGAGACAAAAGGCTGGGCATATGGGCCTGGTCTGTGTCACGGACAGAGATTAGAAGTGTCCGGTTTCAAACCGTTGCACCTGAGATATGTGATTTCACCGCTTTGGAAAGTCCTATTGTCGAGTAAGTAAATGAGTAATGTTTATTTATAGCACATTATACAGACCAAGGTCACCCAAAGCGCTTTACAATGTTCAGATAGTTTTCCATTTTCTCCTCACGATGATGACAGAAGGACCAAACACCCTCCATTCACTCAGTTCTGACACTCAGACCTATTGTACATGTTTTTAGTGGTAGGAATTCTGGCTCTCAACTGATGTAATTGTCATGTGGTGAGGTGAATCAAGGACCCAAAATGCAGGAATACCAAAATAAAAATTATTTAATGACGAAGAAGCAGAAGTGGAGGAGAAAAAAACCCTCAAAATCCAAAGGCACGAGGAACACAGATCCATTGTATTGTCAACACCTGTTGTGTTGACAATACAATGGACCAGCAACAAAGGGAGAGGAGCACAGGTACATATAGACACAGAGATACAGGTGAAACAGATCAGGGCGGGGCAGACAGTCAACACTGGGAAAAACAGGACAGGAAGTCACACTAAAGCCAAACCACAGAGAACAGATGTCAAGATAAAACCAAAGTACAAAATAACAAAACCACACCATGACAGTAATTACAGTTTTAACCACTAGATGTCACCAGAACACCCCAACTCGCTGCAGACGTGTGTGAGACTGGGATGGGTTTATACCACAGGCTCAGAGTGACGTCACACATCACTCCAGAGCCAATGAGAGGCCAGGACCAAATCTGAATGTATGTGGGGCGACAGTGGCTCAGTTGTAGAGCATTGGCCTTTGAGCCCGAACTGCATGACTCCCACTGATGACTGCTGTTGTTGTGTCCTTGGACAATACACCTCTGTGAACAGCAGGTGCCACAGTGGGGCGGCTGCGGCTGTAAAGTGCCAAACTGTGGTTGTGTCCTTAGGCAAGACACTTCCCCCACATTAGAATGAGTCTGGTGTGTGTGTGAGTGGTTGGTGGTGGTGGGAGGGGCTTCTGTCAGTCTGCCCCAGGGCAGCTGTGGCTACAGTAGTTTATCACCACCGTGTTTGGAGAAAGAATAATGACATGTAAAGTGTCTTTGAGGGTCCATTATATAAAACCAATGCATTATTATTATTATTATTAGGGACCTGGGGCCGTATTCCTAAAGATTCTGCTAAGAGTTGCCCTAGTGGCCAAATTGTAAGACTTTTCTTAGAATCTTGACCTACTCTTAGAATTTCCCCTAAAAGTGAGGAGTAGATCCTAGTTAAGAAAAAAGCTATTCCTAAAGAATCCCAGCTCTTAAGAGAGCTCCTGAGGTGAGATCTCTGAAGAGCAGAGAGGAGGACTTTTAGCAACTTCAGAGTTCCCTAAGAGACAAAATGGTGGACGGTAGAAGCAGGAGAAACATTCTATACACTGGAGGACAGTGGATCAGTGTAATAGGGTTTCCTTAATGCAGTTTCACAGCCTTTACTAATCCTAACGTTATCATTATCACCATTTAAACATATTATATTTATATGAGCTCATGTTATGTGTGTGAATATCTGTTGAATATCTGTTAAATATATGTTGAATATCTGTTGAATATGTGATGAATATGTGATGAATATGTGTTATATACGTCTTATATGCGTGTTATATACGTGTTATATACGTGTTATATACGTGTTATATACGTGTTATATACGTGTTATATTCGTGTTATATACGTGTTATATGCGTGTTATATACATGTTATATATATGTTATATACGTGTTATATATATGTTATATACGTGTTATATATATGTTATATACCTGTTATATACGTGTTATATATGTGTTATATACGTGTTACATACGTGTTACATACGTGTTATATATATGTTATATACGTGATATACGTGTTATATTCGTGTTATATATACGTGTTATATACGTGTTATATATACGTGTTATATACGTGTTATATATACGTGTTATATACGTGTTACATACGTGTTATATGCGTGTTATATACGTGATATATACGTGTTATATGCGTGTTATATACATGTTATATACGTGTTATATTCGTGTTATATACGTGTTGTATTCGTGTTATATACGTGTTATATGTGTGTTATATACGTGTTATATAAGTGTTATACGCGTGTTATATACGTGTTATATACGTGTTATATACGTGTTACATACGTGTTATATATATGTTATATACGTGATATACGTGTTATATACATGTTACATACGTGTTATATACGTGTTATATTCGTGTTCTATACGTGTTATATTCGTGTTATATACGTGTTATATACGTGTTATATATGTGTTACATACGTGTTACATACATGTTATATACGTGATATACGTGTTATATACGTGTTATATATACGTGTTATATACGTGTTATATATACGTGTTATATACGTGTTACATACGTGTTATATGCGTGTTATATACGTGATATATACGTGTTATATGCGTGTTATATACATGTTATATACGTGTTATATATACGTGTTATATTCGTGTTATATACGTGTTGTATTCGTGTTATATACGTGTTATATGTGTGTTATATACGTGTTATATAAGTGTTTGACGCGTGTTATATACGTGTTATATACGTGTTATATACGTGTTACATACGTGTTATATATATGTTATATACGTGATATACGTGTTATATACATGTTACATACGTGTTATATACGTGTTATATTCGTGTTCTATACGTGTTATATTCGTGTTATATACGTGTTATATACGTGTTATATATGTGTTACATACGTGTTACATACATGTTATATACGTGATATACGTGTTATATTCGTGTTATATATACGTGTTATATATATACGTGTTATATATACACGTGTTATATACGTGTTACATACGTGTTATATACGTGTTATATTCGTGTTATATACGTGTTATATGCGTGTTATATACATGTTATATACATGTTATAGACGTGTTATATATATGTTATATGCGTTTTATATGCATGTTATATACGTGTTATATATACGTGTTATATTCGTGTTATATACGCGTTATATTCGTGTTATATACGTGTTATATGCGTGTTATATACGTGTTATATGCGTGTTATATACATGTTATATACATGTTATAGACGTGTTATATATGTGTTATATACGTGTTATATTCGTGTTACATACGTGTTACATACGTGTTATATATATGTTATATGCGTGTTATATACATGTTATAGACGTGTTATATATGTGTTATATACGTGTTATATACGTGTTATATACGTGTTACATACGTGGTACATACGTGTTATATATATGTTATATACGTGATATACGTGTTATATACGTGTTACATACGTGTTATATACGTGTTATATTCGTGTTATATACGTGTTATATGCGTGTTATATACGTGTTATATACGTGTTATATGTGTGTTATATACATGTTATATACATGTAATATACATGTTATATACGTGTTATATACGTGTGATGAATTGGTGCTGAGCCAGCTCTGATGATGTGGTGTAAAAGTCTAACTATTCATTTAACTTTGATATTTCTACCTTTTCTGAATATTATTTACAATGACACAGTCTTCCTAAGATTAGATTCCATGATTGAGTTTGTTCTTTTTAGGGCCTTTATTTTGCCCATTATCACCTAAAATATGTTTTCTCTAACTTTTAGGATCAACCAATCACAGCGTCTGAAATGATGACTCAATGGGGTCGGCCACGGCCCCTCACTAAGATAAGAGTTGTTGTCAATTCCTTGCACAGAGTTCTCTGAGAATGTTCTGGAATAACTTTTAAGCTAAGCTAGGAGTTTTTAGGTTAAGTTAGGAGCTCTCTGAGAGGACTCTGAGAATCTTTAGGCGTACGGTCTGAAAACTAGCTGTTAGCTACGGCCAATGAAGTTAGCATCGGTTCCTGTAACAATGCTTCCTGTTCTGTCCTTATCAAATAAACACATAATAATAATAATAATAATGTAGTGCCACCAAAAAGGTAGAGAGGGCGCCACAGAAATGGTTTTAGGCTCAAAAGTGAGATTTTATCTAATTTGCACTAAAATGTCGAAAACCAGGACATGAGAAAAAAACACATTTTTGCAGTTTTTGTGTTAAAAAAGTAGATTTGCTTTAGTTGTCCTTAAAGCATCACTGATGGTGGTTCGTATCATCCGTGTCTAATCGGTGACATCTAGTGGCCAAAGCTTGTATTGTTGCAGACAGTAGGATAAACAACCAAAGCGTAGAAAGGATTAATGTTTATTTGCATAGTGCAGATGAATCAAACGTCAGGCCAATAAGTGAAGTAACAATCTCCACAGACACAAAGTTTGAGGACTGTGTTTTATCATCAAAACATAAAAACAAAGTTATAACAAGCATCAGATTAATGAAGCTACTTTCAACAGGACAGTGGCACAAACATGATGCTCACAGGGGGCGGGGCTTCAAGTTTAAATACTGTACAATATTGGGAAAAGATTTGTGAATGAATGATTTTGTAGTAAATCTGGTAAACCTCTGATAAAGAATGTTTGTCTCTGCTTTGTGTTTGCAGGATGTTTCCCCCGCGGCCCCGTCCTGTGTTTCTATAAACGTGGTTTTAAAATGTGTTGCCACAAACTAATTCTTTGTTTCTGTAAAAGTGGGTCTGGTTTCACAGATTTTGGTTTTGCGTTACTAGCGATGGCTAAAGTCTTTAGGGACCATCAGGAGAAGCCTTGGACCATCAGTGAGTGTTTCTTCTCGAGGGGGAATGCTGACAACAAGTCCCATCAAACTTGTGCATCTGTGTTTGTTTGAGTCCCACTGACCATGAAGAGCAAAGCCACAGAGCATAAAAGTACAGAGTATATGATCCTCATCCGCCCCATACGGCTGCATTCACTTTCCCAAACCTGGATATTGGTGCTGTGGATATTGATCCTGTATCTCAGCTCTGCCACTGCCGCAGCCTGCCATAGTTTTACACACGGACAAGACGGCTGTGTGCGGCTGGATCCAGCTCCAACAGGAAAGAGCACAGAGAATATCCACATTTACAAAGTAAACTCAGTCCATGCAGACGTCATGCTGATCATATCACTAACAGGTCACTTCATGACTGTAGCTTTGATGGTCATGCTCCGGCCTCTGTGTCGCTCAAATGCAAAGGAAAGTTGTATTGGACTCATTCATGCTTCTCCCTCATCGTGGGAAGAAAACAAAGGCAAACTGAAAAGTGACTTAATGCACACTCAGGGTGTTTGTTCGAGCTCCGCTGAGGAGTCCAAAGGCAAAGTAAACATCTGATATGAAGGTCTCCGCTGTGCTCCTGAGCTTAGAGCTTAGAAAAGTTGGGCTTAGCACCAAAAGCAGAAGCTCTTACACACAGATCTGAAGACTGAGCCCACTGTGCGCTTCTGCAGGGGCCTCTCCACATGTCGACGGATGCTCTCAAGGACCTGGATGTTGTAGTCGGGCAGGAGCTGGGCGCTCTGACTCACCGCACTCTTTCCTCTCCATCTGCACAGGTCTTTGTACACGGCCTGTGCAATGGTCTCCACACTGTCTTTGTTCTGCTCCACCTGGATGTTCCATGAGGACTTCTCCTGCTCCAACAGTTCCATCAACTCTTTCCCAAAAGCTGTCACCTGGTCCATGTTTGTGGAGCGTAAGACTAAAGAGGACACTTCATACAGCAGCCCACCCCAGCGCACAGTGTCAGTCTGTGTGTTTGCAAAGTGCTGTGAGGAGAAGCTGCTCTTCACTTCTCTCTCTGCTCCACTCGCAGCTGTTTCATTAGGCTGCAAGAAATCATGGAGGAGCACACTGAAGCGCACGCTTACAAACCACTGGTAAGTGCTGACTACAAGTCATGACTTCAAATTGTTATATAGAATGATTACAAATTATTTGTTGTTTGTGCAGCTTAGTCAAGAGTCCCTAATTGATGAAGTCGACTCAGATTCTGACGATTTAACTGTCAAGAAGAAACCTGTAAAAAAGTATGGAAAAAGAAAAATCAAAAACACTTTTCTTCAAGACTCGGAAAGTGACGAACCAAAGGCAAATAAGATTGTTATCATGCAGCTGCAAAAGAAGAAAAATGGGGGGCGAGTATACAGCAAGAGACACTTCTGCCTCTACTGTTCAATGTCCTGCCACAAAATGTCCCGTCATTTGACTAGAAAACATGGAAATGAAAGTGACGTAGCCAGAGCATTGGCTCTACCTGTGAAATCTAAAGCACGATAAACTTCAGTTTGATTTGATCAGGAATAGTGGAAACCGTGAGCACAATTTTGAGGTTTTAAAGGCCGGCATTGGAACTTTAGTCCCAGCTAAACAGCCAAATTCCCCAGTTAAATCCAGTGAGTTTTTGCACTGTATAGACTGTGGGGCATTGCTTAAGCGAAAGTCGCTGTGGAGGCATGTGGCCAGGTGCCGGCTTTCACAGAAAGATGCCCAGGCTAAACCAGGTAGAAGTAGGGTCCAGTCCCTCTGCTCCCTAGCCCAGCCTGTACCGGAGGGCATCAGCAAAAAGCTGTGGTCTTTAATTTCGGCAATGCATCAGGATGAGGTCACGGGTGTTGTCAAAGCAGAAAAGGGGATTCTGAGACTCGGAGAGCACCTGTACTTAAAACACGGGCATGATAAGACAAAGCATGATTACATTAGGCAGAAAATGAGAGAAGTCGGTAGGTTAATTAACGAAGCAAAAACCGCAGGGAAACTGAAAACAATTAAGGATTTCTTTATTCCTTCCAACTTTAACCATGTGATTGATGCAGTCAGGTCTGTGGCTGGATATGATGAGGAAACAAATCAATACAAGACTCCATCCTTGGCCCTCAAACTCGGCCATAGCCTCAGAAAGCTAGCAGATATTCTTGAATGTGACTCAAAAATGGAGCATTGTGTTGATGAACTATTTATTAAAAACCTCCAACGAAGCCGGCTGCTTTTTGAGAAGAGGTGGGACGTCTGTGTTTCTTCTGCTGCCCTACAGACCCTCCGGCAAGCCAAGTGGAACACTCCGGACCTGCTCCCTCTGACTGAGGACGTTAGAGCCATGCATGCACATATTGAGGTATGTCGACCTGAATATGTGCAAACCCTAATAAGTGAGCCAACGTCTAAGCATTGGTCTAAACTGGCAGTTTTGACTCTTTGTGAGGTCATCATTTTCAATCGAAGAAGGGAAGGTGAGGTTTCAAAGATGCCACTGACAGCCTTTACCTTAAGAAGTAAGACTGGGATCCATTCTGACATTGCTCTGGGACTGTCCCAACTTGAGAAAAAGCTGTGTCAGCATTTTCAACGCATTGAAATTAAAGGGAAAAGAAGTCGGAAAGTGCCGGTTCTTTTGACTCCTGAAATGATTGCTTCGATGGAGGTGCTGGTGGAGAACAGAAGGGCCTGTTCCATCTCTGACCATAACCCATACTTCTTTTCCCGCCCGGGCGCAGACACCCACATCAGGGGATCAGACTCCCTACGCCAGGTAGCCAAAGAATGTGGTGCGGTGCATCCAGAGATGCTATCCTCAACCAAACTTAGAAAGCACATAGCTACTATGTCTACAGTTCTCAATATGAAAGAGAATGAGATGGACATACTTGCCAACTTCCTCGGCCATGACATTCGCATCCACAGGCAATATTACAGACTACCAGAGGGGACACTGGAGCTGGCCAAAATCAGCAAAGTGTTGATGGCCATGGAGCAGGGAAGAGTGACGGAATTCGAAGGAAAGAGCCTCGACCAGATACAAATTGAGCCTGAAGGTAATTCTTGATATTATTAAAATATGTATGATTTTTTTCCCCTAAAGGCCACTTGTATTTTTATTTTCTGTGCGACAGGGAGAGCAGTAGAGATCCTCTCACAAACGGACGGGCTAAAAGAAACTTCAAGCGGAGAACCTTCAACCATTCATCCAGATGCACCCCATGGTAGTGGCAGTGCCCCTTCTGGTAAGTGTACCAGGTGGGGGATTACAGCCAGGCTGCTTGGTCCTAACCCTGGGAGTGTATATTGCTAATATATTTTTATTTCTCTCCCTAGAACGTTAGAGAAAGCCATGGTCTGCATCTGAGGTGAAGGCTGTGGAGAAGACCATGACACCTTTCATACAGACTGGAAAGGTCCCTGGGAAGTCTCACTGCCTGGCCTGGCCTGGCCTGGCCTGCATTAATGCCTCACCAGATGACCTTAGACATCGGACATGGAGTGGCATTAAATTCTATGTCAAAAATAGAATCACTGCAATTCGAAAACAAAATCTAAAATAAAATTCCTTTAAAATAGTTGTTTGGTTTCTATTGACTGTTTTGTATTACTTAAAGTCTTGGTAAAAAAAGATTATGTCTATGGGTCCCATTCTGAACGGCCCTGTCAAAGGGACCCACCAGGTAACAAAAACGTGTATGTGTGTGTGTGTGTGTGTGTGTGTGTATGGACATGTGTGTGTGGTGTGTGTGTGTGTGTGTGTATGGACGTGTGTGTGTGTGTGTGTGACTCAGTGTTTGTGATGTAAACAGAATGAGATCATGGTCAGAGCAGTGTGAGTGTGGGACTTTGCTCAATGTGACGGACAAATGTAGAGTGGCTGTAGTCCAGAGGTGTGTGTCTGAGTGTGTGTCTGTGTCTGTGTGTGTGTGTCTGTGTCTGTGTGTGTGTGCGTGTGTGTCTGTGTGTGTGTGTGTGTGTCTGCGTGCGTGTGTGTGTGTGTCTGTGTGTGTGCGTGTATGTCTGTGTCTATGTGTGCGTGTGTGTGTGTGACTGGTTTGTTGATGTGTGGTGCTTTAAAAGGAAGAAAAGTCCTTCATAAACGTATTTACCTGAACTCCCAAACCCATATACTACAGACAAAATATATAAATATTTACATGAATCAAAAGTGCAGTGACGTAAATGTGTGTATCTCTGTATATGTTGTGTGCTCTTCCTACTGTCCTGTGTGTGCGCTGCAACAATGGCATTTCCCCACTCTGTAAATCTCTCTAAGTGTGTAAATGTGTAAAGACAGTGAAGGCCACATCCAGAGCTGTGTCCACTGAGTCTGATTACAATTCTATACACACACACGCACACACACACACACACACACACACACACAAACAGACAGACAGACACACACAAATACACACACACAAACAAACACACACACGCACATTCTACAGGACTAAAAATAGATCCTATTTGGACTCAGGCAAACGGCTGAAGCACACACACACATATATAGGCAGACATACAGACACACACACACACATATAGAAACACACAAACACACCCACACAAACACGTGCACACATATATACACACACACAAAGACACCCACACACACATGCACCCTGACACACACACACACACACACAAATAGAAACACACACAGACACAGACATACACACCCACACCCACACAGACACGTGCACACAAATAGAAACACACACACACACACACACACACACACACGTTCCCTTTGGACCAGACTAGAACCAGGAAGTACCATCACATTAGTCCTGGTCTCAGGTCTCTCTGATTCATGCAGCTAGAATCTGGAACAGTCTTCTTTAAATTAAAACAGTTTTTGCAACAACTGAAGGATTTATTTTGACTCTTTTTAATGAACTGTGATTATTTATGATTTTATCCCTGATTTGATTGTTTCGTTCTGATAGGAGCAAAACTTCACCATGAGCACTTCACCCTGACACACTCCTGTCCACAAACACACTTATGGCCACGTGTCTCTGTCCATGGTGCTGAACACACACCTCCAAACCAGAGAAACTGCAGCACTCAGTATACATACCTCTGTCTCAGTATACATACATACCTCTGTCTCAGTATACATACATACCTCTGTCTCAGTCTACATACCTCTGTCTCAGTATACATACAGACCTGTCTCAGTATACATACATACCTCTGTCTCAGTATACATACAGACCTCTGTCTCAGTATACATACAGACCTCTGTCTCAGTATACATACATACCTCTGTCTCAGTATACACACAGACCTCTGTCTCAGTATACATACCTCTGTCTCAGTATACATACAGACCTCTGTCTCAGTCTACACACCTCTGTCTCAGTATACATACAGACCTCTGTCTCAGTCTACATACCTCTGTCTCAGTATACATACCTCTGTCTCAGTATACATACAGACCTCTGTCTCAGTATACATACAGACCTCTGTCTCAGTATACATACCTCTGTCTCAGTATACATACAGACCTCTGTCTCAGTCTACACACCTCTGTCTCAGTATACATACATACCTCTGTCTCAGTATACACACAGACCTCTGTCTCAGTCTACATACCTCTGTCTCAGTATACATACATACCTCTGTCTCAGTATACACACAGACCTCTGTCTCAGTATACATACATACCTCTGTCTCAGTATACACACATACCTCTGTCTCAGTATACATACATACTTCTGTCTCAGTATACATACATACCTCTGTCTCAGTCTACATACCTCTGTCTCAGTATACATACCTCTGTCTCAGTATACATACCTCTGTCTCAGTATACATACATACCTCTGTCTCAGTATACATACATACCTCTGTCTCAGTATACATACCTCTGTCTCAGTATACATACATACCTCTGTCTCAGTATACATACATACCTCTGTCTCAGTCTACATACCTCTGTCTCAGTATACATACATACCTCTGTCTCAGTATACACACATACCTCTGTCTCAGTATACAGACCTCTGTCTCAGTATACATACAGACCTCTGTCTCAGTATACATACAGACCTCTGTCTCAGTATACATACAGACCTCTGTCTCAGTATACATACATACCTCTGTCTTAGTATACATACATACATACCTCTGTCTCAGTATACATACCTCTGTCTCAGTATACATACCTCTGTCTCAGTATACATACATACCTCTGTGTCAGTATCCATACAGACCTCTGTCTCAGTATACATACATACCTCTGTCTCAGTATACATACATACCTCTGTCTCAGTATACATACATACCTCTGTCTCAGTCTACATACCTCTGTCTCAGTATACATACATACCTCTGTCTCAGTATACATACAGACCTCTGTCTCAGTATACATACAGACCTCTGTCTCAGTATACATACAGACCTCTGTCTCAGTATACATACATACCTCTGTCTCAGTATACATACAGACCTCTGGCTCAGTATACATACCTCTGTCTCAATATACATACATACCTCTTTCTCAGTATACATACAGACCTCTGTCTCAGTATACATATCTCTGTCTCAGTATACATACCTCTGTCTCAGTATACATACATACCTCTGTCTCAGTCTACATACCTCTGTCTCAGTATACATACCTCTGTCTCAGTATACATACCTCTGTCTCAGTCTACATACCTCTGTCTCAGTATACATACCTCTGTCTCAGTATACATACCTCTGCCTCAGTATACATACAGACCTCTGTCTCAGTATACATACATACCTCTGTCTCAGTATACATACAGACCTCTGTCTCAGTATACATACAGACCTCTGTCTCAGTATACATACAGACCTCTGTCTCAGTATACATGCCTCTGTCTCAGTATACATACAGACCTCTGTCTCAGTATACATACATACCTCTGTCTCAGTATACATACAGACCTCTGTCTCAGTATACATACAGACCTCTGTCTCAGTATACATACATGTCTCTGTCTCTGTATACATACAGACCTCTGTCTCAGTATACACACAGACCTGTGTCTCAGTATACATACAGACCTCTGTCTCAGTATACATACAGACCTCTGTCTCAGTATACATGCCTCTGTCTCAGTATACATACAGACCTCTGTCTCAGTATACATGCCTCTGCCTCAGTATACATACATACCTCTGTCTCAGTATACATACATACCTCTGTCTCAGTATACATACCTCTGTCTCAGTATACATACATACCTCTGTCTCAGTATACATACATACCTCTGTCTCAGCATACATACATACCTCTGTCTCAGTATACATACCTCTGTCTCAGTATACATACATACCTCTGTCTCAGTATACATACATACCTCTGTCTCAGCATACATACATACCTCTGTCTCAGTATACATACAGACCTCTGTCTCAGTCTACAGACCTCTGGCTCAGTATACATACCTCTGTCTCAGTATACATACATACCTCTGTCTCAGTATACATACAGACCTCTGTCTGAGTATACACACAGACCTCTGTCTCAGTATACATATCTCTGTCTCAGTATACATACATACCTCTGTCTCAGTATACATACATACCTCTGTCTCAGTCTACATACTTCTGTCTCAGTATACATACATACCTCTGTCTCAGTCTACATACCTCTGTCTCAGTATACATACCTCTGTCTCAGTATACATACCTCTGTCTCAGTATACATACATACCTCTGTCTCAGTATACATACAGACCTCTGTCTCAGTATACATACCTCAGTCTCAGTATACATACAAACCTCTGTCTCAGTATACATACAGACCTGTCTCAGTATACATACAGACCTCTGTCTCAGTATACATACCTCTGTCTCAGTATACATACCTCTGTCTCAGTATACATACATACCTCTGTCTCAGTATACACACAGACCTCTGTCTCAGTATACACACCTCTGTCTCAGTATACATACATACCTCTCTCTCAGTATACATACATACCTCTGTCTCAGTCTACATACCTCTGTCTCAGTATACATACCTCTGTCTCAGTATACATACCTCTGTCTCAGTCTACATACCTCTGTCTCAGTATACATACCTCTGTCTCAGTATACATACCTCTGCCTCAGTATACATACAGACCTCTGTCTCAGTATACATACATACCTCTGTCTCAGTATACATACAGACCTGTCTCAGTATACATACAGACCTCTGTCTCAGTATACATACAGACCTCTGTCTCAGTATACATACAGACCTCTGTCTCAGTATACATGCCTCTGTCTCAGTATACATACAGACCTCTGTCTCAGTATACATACAGACCTCTGTCTCAGTATACATACAGACCTCTGTCTCAGTATACATACAGACCTCTGTCTCAGTATACATACATGCCTCTGTCTCAGTATACATACAGACCTCTGTCTCAGTATACATACATACCTCTGTCTCAGTATACATGCCTCTGTCTCAGTATACATACAGACCTGTCTCAGTATACATACAGACCTCTGTCTCAGTATACATACATGCCTCTGTCTCAGTATACATACAGACCTCTGTCTCAGTATACATACAGACCTCTGTCTCAGTATACATACATGCCTCTGTCTCTGTATACATACATACCTCTGTCTCAGTATACACACAGACCTGTGTCTCAGTATACATACATGCTCTGTATGTATACTGAGACAGAGGTATCTATACTGAGACAGAGGTATCTATACTGAGACAGAGGTATGTATACTGAGACAGAGGTTTAGGCTACACAATGCTCCTTCAGGAAAACTAGACATAGACAATAAAGTTACAGACCCGAGCTTTAGTCACGCATGCGCGAAACAGCAGCAGCGTCACCGCGTAAAACTGTTGCTCTCCTCAAGCTCCGCCCATCGCTGCAAAGTTACTTCATCTATAAACGATCCTTTCTAGCCCAAAAAAACCCAAAACTAAATCTTACCAAATCTGAGCACGTGCGACATCCCGTTGGAGCTCGCGAGCAGCAGCAGCACGAGCCCCAGCTCCGACAGAAGGATGCTCCTCTGCATGTTGTTCAGCACCAAAAAGAAATCACAAAATATATATATTCATCAAAAAAGGCAATAATCCAACGAAATAACGCTGTCTTCTTTCACGTCCTCATGTTAGGTCCGAAGGAAAAGTCACACTTGTGTAGAAGTGACCCCCAGCTTCCTGTAGCAATAGTTTTATTATTAATATTTATTATCACTGGGTCCATGTTCAGGATCGTTGTATAAAAATATGAAATGTAATAGTTCATTCAGTCCAAGCAGATTAAAAATATATATCTTGGTGATTTTGGCTTGAATTAAAAACACATCAGGCTCAGTTCATTCAGAAAACCTAGGCATCCTTCAGAACCAAATCAACGCGTTCTGATTCGGATTCACATACTGAGTTCCAGTCTCGGTCCCCCGGAGGAAGAACCACCCAGGGGTCTGAGCAGAGAGAGCATGCTCCAGGCTGTGTGCTGTAGTAAAACAGGTGTCCAGCGGTCGCTCCGGTCCCCGCAGCAAAAACAACGAGAGATTCCCCCCAGAATAACGTCAAATAACGTCAAAAAGCTTCAACTCCCAGGCGCGCGATCCGGCTCCGTGTCCGACTGGAGTGCGTTGATCAGCGGCATGGTCACAGGCGTCAGCAGCCCCCCCGTAGGTCCCCAGCTCCACTGCGCCAGATCCGCGGCTAAAGAACATGTGTGTTGGACGAGAAAGGAGATGAATGTCCAGAGAATGTTGTGACAGGATCCACTGGTGTCGAGGGCGCGTGTCCAAGCGCGTGTCCAAGCGCGTGCGGGCGCAGACGGGGACGCGCTTCTACCGCACTGCCGCACCACAGGCTGACGCTACGGCGAGCCAAGGTTAGCCGTGCCGTGACGTGAGAGGAGGGGGGAGGAGGGGGGGGGGGGGGAGGGAGGGGGTGGAAGGGGATGCTTTTAGGGGATCCGGTGGGGGCGGTAAGTAAAGCTGGGTGACCTGACTTTCAGACCACAACAAATGGATGTAACAAAAATAGCATATATTTTTTCCTTCGGTCCTGCGGCGTGCGCGTTGGTCTCTGTCACATCTTTTCAAAGCTTTTTCAGATGATTAAACATGAAAAGACGAACCTTCCAATGAGCTTTCAGCCCAAAGAGACAGATAGTGACTCACAGAGACCTCACAGTGTTTGATTCAGATGAAGACTGGATCGAGAGCTTTAAAGGAGCGGTGTTATTATGAGAGCGTTTTGGTTTAACCTTGTTTGGACCTTTTTTCATTCCTCAATGATGTCAGTGTTGCAGCACAAGCACACAGACAGCACACAACATATACAAGTAATGCTTCACAAGAGCAGGGTAAATTAATAATACATTTCTCCTACAGGGATCAGCAAAGTATCTGTCTATCCATCTACGTATATATCTGTATCGTCTGTGCAGCTAAACCTCACCTGGTCCTCACAACAGTCTGAAGGTCAAAGCAAATGTATCTAAAGTTACTATCATACATTTGTCTTGGTATAAAACCATATGAACGCTGTGACACTCTGGTTCCCCTCAGCAGGAGGAGGAGGGTTGCTGCGCGAACAGTAGCTTGAAGCATTGAGAGGCTTTGTTTGAATGACGCAAACAAAGGATAACGCGTAATGAGCTGAGCTGAGCTAAACCGAGCTGAGTTTACTTTTACATGTAAGTCAATCGGAGCCAGAGAGAGTTGGAGCAAAACTTTGTCCATGAGCACTTCCCTGTTGGGCTTCACTGAGATCGCTGGTTACCTTTGTCCATCTGCGCACAGCCTTAACATGACACTTACCTCAAGTGTCCTTTGTCCAGGTCTTAAAAGTGTCCCTCCAGAAACAGCACCCATTTTTATGTGGTTCTTAGGGTCATAGCAGAGAGTAGAGTAGAGTAGCATAGGATAGGGTAGGATAGGGTAGGGAAGAGTAGAGCAGCATGTGATAGAGTACAGTAGAGTAGAGTAGTAGCGTAGGGTAGAGTAGAGTAGGGTAGGGCTGGTGGAAACGGGGCTTTACATCCAAGCACTGAAGACCAGCCTTTGTTACTATGGTTTACTAGACATGCAGGGGCCTCTCTGGACATGCAGGGGCCTCTCTGGACATGCAGGGGCCTCTCTGGACATGCAGGGGCCTCTCTGGACATGCAGAGGCCTCTCTGGACATGCAGGGGCCTCTCTCGCTGCGGTAAATCAGTTTCAGCACCATGGACAGAGGCACAGTGAAACAGAATCACCGGCTGCCTCCAAATTCATAAAAATACCTCCTCTCTCATCCTTCCTGTCTCTTTGATGCACCAAATGTCTTCATAAAAAGTGTAGGTCTATGGCTTTGGAACATAACACACAATGACAAATTGTCAAACTTCAAAGCCATGGGTGTTAAACTCTGGCCCACATTTGGCCCGTCGGTACAGCGCCGGTGCCTCAGCTCAAAGCCTGAACCCCGACATTAATGAACCTCCAAGAAAAGATGCAGGTATCTGGGGACATCAGGTTAGATCAATGTGTCGCAAACTGAGCCGTAAAAGTGCCTGAATGGCTGATTTATTATTTATTGTTTTATTTTCAAATGTATTATTAGCCTGTGGATAAAGTTTTCTTTGATATTTATAGAAGGCTGTAAACAGAAAAGAGGAATGACATTTGTATTTAAATTTTACTTGATTTTGCATTGGTATCTTTTTATTATTATTATTTGACACTCGGTTTTGCAAGTCACTATAAAGTTATATATGTCTTGCTTGTTCAATATTCATTTCCTTTCAAAAGGTTATTTTGTTCATCCTTGGCCCATGGCTTGGTTCAGTCTTTAATGTTGGCCCACATCTGTTTTACGCTCACACATCCGCACAAACCACTCCATATTCACTCACACACGTCCTGATGGGAGAAGTCACCTGTCCACGGCCTCAGAGTGCTATGTAATTAAATATTGCTCTCATCCTCAGACGCCAATGCTCCGTCTGCGTCACGGTCTGTCACTGCCCCCTGCTGGACACACACGGACATGCAGCGACCTTTTACAACAATAACAAAGTGGTAAAGACAGACAGAGACACACACACACACACACACATATACACGGAGAGACAGACACACACACAGACAGATACACACACACAGACATATACACGGACAGACAGACAGATACACACGCACACACACACACACAGACAGATACACGGACAGACAGACACACAGACAGACAGACACACACACACAGACAGATACACGGACAGACAGACACACAGACAGACAGACACACACACACAGACAGATACACACACACACACACACACACAGACATATACACGGACAGACAGACACACAGACAGACAGACACACACACACACACACACACACACACACACAGACATATACACGGACAGACAGACACACAGACAGACAGACACACACACACACACACACAGACAGATACACACACACACACGCACAGACATATACACGGACAGACAGACACACAGACAGACAGACACACACACACAGACAGATACACACACACACACACACACACACAGACAGACAGACACACACACACACACACACACACACAGACAGATACACACACACACACACACACACACACACACACACACAGACATATACACGGACAGACAGACACACAGAGAGACAGACACACACACACACACAGACAGATACACACACACAGACATATACACGGACAGACAGACACACAGACAGACAGACACACACACACACACACACACACACACAGACAGATACACACACACACACACACACATACACGTTTTTGTTACCTGGTGGGTCCCTTTGACAGGGCCGTTCAGAATGGGACCCATAGACATAATCTTTTTTTACCAAGACTTTAAGTAATACAAAACAGTCAATAGAAACCAAACAACTATTTTAAAGGAATTTTATTTTAGATTTTGTTTTCGAATTGCAGTGATTCTATTTTTGACATAGAATTTAATGCCACTCCATGTCCGATGTCTAAGGTCATCTGGTGAGGCATTAATGCAGGCCAGGCCAGGCCAGGCCAGGCAGTGAGACTTCCCAGGGACCTTTCCAGTCTGTATGAAAGGTGTCATGGTCTTCTCCACAGCCTTCACCTCAGATGCAGACCATGGCTTTCTTACACGTTCTAGGGAGAGAAATAAAAATATATTAGCAATATACACTCCCAGGGTGAGGACCAAGCAGCCTGGCTGTAATCCCCCACCTGGTACACTTACCAGAAGGGGCACTGCCACTACCATGGGGTGCATCTGGATGAATGGTTGAGGGTTCTCCGCTTGAAGTTTCTTTTAGCCCGTCCGTTTGTGAGAGGATCTCTACTGCTCTCCCTGTCGCACAGAAAATAAAAATACAAGTGGCCTTTAGGGGAAAAAAATCATACATATTTTAATAATATCAAGAATTACCTTCAGGCTCAATTTGTATCTGGTCGAGGCTCTTTCCTTCGAATTCCGTCACTCTTCCCTGCTCCATGGCCATCAACACTTTGCTGATTTTGGCCAGCTCCAGTGTCCCCTCTGGTAGTCTGTAATATTGCCTGTGGATGCGAATGTCATGGCCGAGGAAGTTGGCAAGTATGTCCATCTCATTCTCTTTCATATTGAGAACTGTAGACATAGTAGCTATGTGCTTTCTAAGTTTGGTTGAGGATAGCATCTCTGGATGCACCGCACCACATTCTTTGGCTACCTGGCGTAGGGAGTCTGATCCCCTGATGTGGGTGTCTGCGCCCGGGCGGGAAAAGAAGTATGGGTTATGGTCAGAGATGGAACAGGTCCTTCTGTTCTCCACCAGCACCTCCATCGAAGCAATCATTTCAGGAGTCAAAAGAACCGGCACTTTCCGACTTCTTTTCCCTTTAATTTCAATGCGTTGAAAATGCTGACACAGCTTTTTCTCAAGTTGGGACAGTCCCAGAGCAATGTCAGAATGGATCCCAGTCTTACTTCTTAAGGTAAAGGCTGTCAGTGGCATCTTTGAAACCTCACCTTCCCTTCTTCGATTGAAAATGATGACCTCACAAAGAGTCAAAACTGCCAGTTTAGACCAATGCTTAGACGTTGGCTCACTTATTAGGGTTTGCACATATTCAGGTCGACATACCTCAATATGTGCATGCATGGCTCTAACGTCCTCAGTCAGAGGGAGCAGGTCCGGAGTGTTCCACTTGGCTTGCCGGAGGGTCTGTAGGGCAGCAGAAGAAACACAGACGTCCCACCTCTTCTCAAAAAGCAGCCGGCTTCGTTGGAGGTTTTTAATAAATAGTTCATCAACACAATGCTCCATTTTTGAGTCACATTCAAGAATATCTGCTAGCTTTCTGAGGCTATGGCCGAGTTTGAGGGCCAAGGATGGAGTCTTGTATTGATTTGTTTCCTCATCATATCCAGCCACAGACCTGACTGCATCAATCACATGGTTAAAGTTGGAAGGAATAAAGAAATCCTTAATTGTTTTCAGTTTCCCTGCGGTTTTTGCTTCGTTAATTAACCTACCGACTTCTCTCATTTTCTGCCTAATGTAATCATGCTTTGTCTTATCATGCCCGTGTTTTAAGTACAGGTGCTCTCCGAGTCTCAGAATCCCCTTTTCTGCTTTGACAACACCCGTGACCTCATCCTGATGCATTGCCGAAATTAAAGACCACAGCTTTTTGCTGATGCCCTCCGGTACAGGCTGGGCTAGGGAGCAGAGGGACTGGACCCTACTTCTACCTGGTTTAGCCTGGTTTAGCCTGGTTTAGCCTGGGCATCTTTCTGTGAAAGCCGGCACCTGGCCACATGCCTCCACAGCGACTTTCGCTTAAGCAATGCCCCACAGTCTATACAGTGCAAAAACTCACTGGAT